TTCCAGTGGCCATCGGTTTCTTTTACATGTGACCAGTCGTAAAACAGATCTACCACAAACGTATGGATGACAAAGTCTGTGGGGGCATGGAGCTGTTGAGAGGTGACGGCGTATAAATGTAGAACGACGGCAGTTGTTGCAACCTATAGTTTCGTTGGCGGCGGCTGCAAGGTCGTTTCCAAGTGAATGACAACCTTAATCCAGTCTTCGTCTGTGCCTTTAGTTGTGTTTGCTTGAAATTGACGCAGGGCAGTGAATGAACGGAAAGTAGCATGGCGACGTTGGAAATAATTCCTTCCTGGCGCTTTCGCGTAGTCGGTCACTCGTGTGGCCTTAAGCTGCGACGCGTGGCATTCGTTTATCCAGTGCGGCGTTGTTTGGTTTAGGATGACAGTGTGTGACAGTCGCCTCTAAGACAGTGAATCATATGCGGGTAGCGGCAGTTGGCTGAGAGAAGCTTTGAAGCGGTTGTGCGGCCCCCGTTTTTCGGTCGCACATCTTTGTTGTTATCGTTCCTGGTGGTGCTGCCGCTGCTGGCGGCCAACCTTCGCATACCGCTAGCCTCCGTAGTAGTGTTACTGACCAACCAGCCGACTGTCCTCCTCGGCTCCGCCATTGCTCATTCATCGTAATGCACGCCTACGCGCGTGATGATACACGTTTTGGTAGTGAGTGACGGTGGCCGGCCGGCCGGCGGGCGAGTGCAGTCGTTAGCGAGCGACCTTGTGCCCCCCGGTCTGCAAATAATTTTAAACCGACAGCGGTTCTAGTGACGTGTCAACGACTCGCTCATCGCTGTTGACGCGCATGCATGCGTTCCGCCGCAGAATTCCGTCGCGTTTTCTTTTTCGCTGGTACTAAACCGTACATGTGAACGCGTCTGTTGAGGTGCCGTCTGGTAAACAACAGTGACCGTGTACCGCCACCGAAGTAAATGGCACCGCCGATTCGACAGAGTTACTGCCGCCGCTGCGGCCGCCGCAGCCGCAGCCGCAGAGTGACCACCCTCACCGCTTACGTCAGCGCATCCACTCCGGCATCAGCCTCCACGCCCGTGCCGTGCCTCCTGCCGTGACAGCGCCCGCTGCTGCTGTTGCCGCTTGCGAAGGCGCGTCGACCCTTCGTCCGACGCCATGCACACGCCATTGCCCAGTCAGTATGCGATGCAGCACAGCTGCTCAGAAAACTCATTGTTCGGTAAGTTAGGCAGTGGAACCCTAAAACGCGCCACGAAAGCCCTTAAGAAAAAGCTGCAGAACTCGTCATCCGACTCGACAGACACGTTTTCGCCCGTCCTGCCGAAGGCAAACCAGGTAAGGATTAGTCGCCGCCGCGTGCTCACCATACCGCTGCAGGCCGTTTCGTGGTGTGCGGCATGCGGTCACTGGCCAAGTGCTGCTTCATTCTTCTGCATTTACCTCGTTCCTCACTCCGTACAACCCTTCTTACCACAGCGCTAAACTCCGAATATGGCCGTAGCAAGTAACGGAGCGGCTGTGTGGGTGATGTGACGTACGACAGTCAGCGCGGTGATAACACCAGCTAAGTCATGTCATGGAAGCCTCAGCTCTCTCGCCCTTGACCGTTTGAATCCACCGTTTGCTCTGGTTACGTAGAAGTAGGCTGTGTGCTGTGTTTGTTTCTCAGACTGCGTCTGCAAGTTGTCTTCGGCTGTTGACGCATATCCTGCTTTCTTCTGTGCAACAACTTACCTGTGTACATCATCGGTTGCTGCGTCGTTGTTGAAGGAATTGTTCTGGCCAAATTCTTCTTCTCACTATATCAGATTGTTCTCCTGCGCTGTTTTGTGGTGTTTGGTTTCCTGGTTTTTACAACGATAAGTGAGAACTGGAGTACATCGGTTTGTGATTAAAGTTCATAGATTGCCGCTGCTCCGACTCCGACGCTGAGTCTGTTTCGGTTCTCTTTCTGACTTTTTATCAACAGTATCATATTCGTCTCTCGTTTGTTGCCGGCCTCGGCGCAGTGTCGACTGACTCATCTACTGACTGACACGGATAAACAACGCCTGTTTTATCTTCCCGTTTCTGAAAGTTTCTGCCGTATTTCTAGTGAAAACTTGATCCCCAGCTCTCTGGCCACCCCGTTGTTAGTTATACGTTGGCGATTGTCACATGACAGCATTATGATTGATTGCAATGAGGCACATAAAGGCAAAGTTCAAGCTTAAGGAAACTAAAGCTGAACAGATAAAACAAGATCCGACTTCGGGGTTAGGTCACATCGCGTATCGGTCAGTGTGTTGTGACTCATGGCATATGTTGCAGTAAAGTTATAAAACTGTACTGCCAACATGGTTGAACCAACCTGTCTAAGTAGTTCACAGAGTATTCGATTGTTTGGATCACAGGAAAATGCATAGTGTGCATATTACGTACGTATATGAGGAAGGAGCTGTCCGTTATGGCCTGTTTGAATTTACTGGCAACTCTCCAGAAGCTTTTGTGACATTGAAGACAGCCGTCTTTCCATGTGTCGATGTCATCTCGTGCCTACTTAACACGATTATCGTTTTCTCTGGCCGTAATTGACCAGACCACCTTAAGCATCGACTTCGGCTGTCACTGGCTTACCCATGCATGCGACCCGGCTCGCCTGTTGTCTTCAAGTCGGTTAGGTTGCTTGCTAAAAGCGGTGATAACCAGCTTTTTCCTTCGTCGAAATCGGTGATTCGTTAGCGATTAGGCGGCGCGCAGACGACATCGATCCACATCGTAGTTTGCTGCCCTTTTTATCCATAATTTCGACCGCCTCTCATCCGCTGGTGATATTTACAGCTAGTAGGTAGGGGCAACGGAGAATTTTTGTTGAAAATTGTCTCGTGCTGTACCTCACGCCACTGTTGTCGAGTTGTGTACGTCTTCCTCTCTATCCGATGGTGCGAAGGTTTCTAAGCGGAAAGAGAGGAAGACGAACTCACACGATCACTCCGAACTCTGAACTATGAACTGTTGTTCGGTTATCTAGCCATATTTCGAAGCAGCAAAACAATTACAAAATGCGCGCTAGATGTCGTTTAGCTTATGACAGAGTTGACTGCCAGCGATGCAAACTTGCAAGTGCGGTTTGAAAGGCGGAAAAAAGTACGTAACTTAGGAGAAAAGCCGGCTTTTCGCGGAACCTCTTGACAATGGCCATTTTGACAGTAGTCATCAGATCATCCAGAAACAACTGATCCGCAGAGACGTGCAACGACTCTAATCGCCTTTCGTTATACACTTAGTCTGCTTTTGGGGGTAATCGCGTCCAACGTTGTTAGGTCGACCGTAATTGTAGTGATGAGCGTTTCTGTGACTGAAGCCGGAACGTCGCAGTGAAACTATTTCGTCGTCACTCCCAACGGCATCGATCGATACGCAAGCTGCTGTATTTGCTGCTGCATGATTGGCGTGACATAAATTGTACCATGAAGAACACTTGACCAACACGCAGTCTCGTTGCACTTTGAGGTTACATTTTCACAGCGAATGACCGGCTCGACTCTGATCTCCAGTAGACGGAAATGCACTTTAAATAAAAGGCTGTGCGCACGCTGCTTCTGGCTTCTGTTTCCTTCATATTTTATGCGGAAACGTGGGAAATGCTGTTTTTATATACGATAGGTATCTAAGAAGAACAGGAAAGAAAACTTGATCGAGAAAGATATAACGCTAATTGTCAAGAAGGACATAGGACATTGAAGCGAAACTGAGCGCGTCGGTTCCAACTTTAGATGCCAGAAAGGCTGGCGACATAGTGCCTACGTACTCCATGCTTAATATGCGAAAAATCGCTTTCGATTTTATAATCCGCTTTTATAATCTTTTATAATGATCGTCTCGTCTCTACACGCTTTTCGGTTTACAGTGCATCGCGCGCGCTGTGCTAGTCTCCTGTTGCGGTTATGCCTCATTCGCTGACCGTTTCAGGGCCGATATGCGCCTCATACAGAAAGATACTTAACGACGAGAAAAAAATCTCTTTTTGAACACGTAGCACATCTAGCTAGGCATAGCCAGCGCCGAAACAGAATGCTGACACGAAGCACGGAATCGGTCTTCAGCAGCATGGAAGCGACCTCGCATCAGCCCGTCTGCTTTCACAGATCGTCCAACAGCTTTTTGTCCGTGCTTTTTGATTGACTATGACTAAATCACATTGCTGTCATGATCATCATTTTAAGTTAGGCACAGCATAAACGACATTCAGGTAGTCATATTTTATTTAAACTAAGGAACTGCCGGGAGCAAGGAAATTCCAGCAAGACGATGTGTAAGTTTGAGCTGCTCAAAGATTTTGTCACTAAATTCTGTTTTCAGCGTTCTCATTCAAGATGCTGCTATAAATTTCATAAGCTCGCCTTGCCGTCTATCTGAAGGTCTTCACATCGTACCGTTTAAATTCTCTTGTAACCCGTGTAACCGTAAATTCTCTTGTAATTCTCTTGCAATATCTGTGGTTCAGCGATGGGTCTGTTATCTTTGCAGCGTGTTCATTCCGTTGCCGTTTAAATTTCTTGTCACTGGTATGTTAATTGCAGACTTCTTTTTGTGCTCTTCTCCATTCGTTCATCATTTTATTTCTTGTTTTTTCCAACATATCTTTCCATGCTGAGTTGCGCAGTTTTTAGTTTGTGAACGGCTTCCATGTTTGGGGTCTGTTTCGCATCCTTATGTTAGCATTAGGCGCACACACAGATCGATGAGCTTCGTTTCAAGCACAGTGGTAGTTTTCATACAGGGGTGTTTTCAGTCTTCCAGAGTTGCTCCATGCCATTTTTACTCCGCTGGTTATTTCGAAGAGTTGCTTCTGTTTCAGATGTCGGCTATCTTAGATAGGCGTAAATCTACGCTTTTCAGGCCTAAGTCTATTGACGTGAACGTGCTGTGGGGTCACGTGTACATGTTTAAGATCCTTTTCAATCTTTCCTTATAGCTGGTGTTGTTCACATCGTCGATCCTTTTCAGTTCTAGTTCTTCTGGATATTGACGGCAAACCGCAGGTGACTTAAGTAGTGTCCGTTTATCATCAGCGTCTGATTTTGCCACTGAAACCTTTCGAAGATTTCTTCTGGGGCTGTTACGAATAGCCTGTAACGCTGCACCACCTTGTTGGGCGCCTTTTCGATTTTGAATTTGTTGATGCTTTTGTAAAGCGTTGTGCTAATCGTTACATTCTTTAAGTCGTGGCGATGATGTCACTGTGTTTTTTCGTTTCTATGGCCCATGAGAACGTTTAATGCAGAGTGTGTAAACTGAATCTGAATATTCTTTGTTTGTCTAAATCACTTGGTGTACCACCTGAAGATGATCCATCGTACTAAATTCGCTTCAGAAACGTGCTGGTTCCTTTGGCTGTGCAGAGTTTAGTTGTTCTTGAGATTTGTTCGTTAGTGCCTTCGCGAAGGGCTGTATATGATTGGCAGCAGATTGGTCGGCCTGCAGTTCTTCAGATCCTCTTTGTCTCCTTCGTTTCTCGAGTAATCGAATCACCTAGGATTTTCATTTCCTTCACGTAGCGTAAAACCAACGCTCTCTTATCGTGCTCTGTACTTAATTTTCTGATTCTAGAAGTTCTTCGTAATAAACTCATCGCCAGCAACTTTTCTTCTCTTCGCTTTATTGCATGACACATTTCCGGCGAAAGATGTTGATGTTCCGACTGTTTCGTTTGTTTCCTCCTTCTCATCAGTTAGGGCTTTACATTTTTCGCTGTTGTATGGCTACGTATAGGAATTTTCTACTGTGTTCAGGGTC